TCATTCCAAACAGCATTATCCTGTTTACAAGAGCACAATTGGGAAGAACGGCAACGCCAACACCGGAAGTTGAAATCGAGTCGTGTCCAGACTGTCCGCGCGCTTTCCCGTTCTGAAATGGCGTTCCCTTCCTCTTGCTAAATCACTCTATTATGTCCACGATTTGACATCCCTTATCTTTGGTTGCCAATGAGCAAGGGATTATAGACTCGATATCTTGCTTTGAGTGATTAACGTATCCGGAAGTTACTGATATGTCTATCAGTTTAGCAAGTCAGACTTATAAACAGGCTCTCGCCCTGTGACGGGGCACAAAGGTCCAAAAGGGGTATCTTTATCAGGTTAGAGGTATATAAACGGCAAGGGATTGAATGAGATTCATAGGAAATGATTGAAAGCGTTCGAAGATCAATTTAAAAGATGGAATAGGATAAAAAGAGGAAAATGTCCTTAATGCTTTTAATCATAACTCATGGTCAAATTTTTTCAGTTCTGCCTATCAAGAAAAGTGGATAAACTTTGATCACGATAGGCTTTCTTAAATGATTAAAAATGATTATATAATCTTCCAAACAGGCAACGAAGAGCCCATTTTTTTTTCTTCTCTAAGTCAGGTACGATAATCCTGCACATAGAAGCACTGATGGTTCAGTGGTAGAATTCTCGCCTGCCACGCGGGAGGCCCGGGTTCGATTCCCGGTCAGTGCATAGTAGAAAATCTTTTTTATCTATTAATGTTATTCTTAGGTCAGAAACGACTTAGATCCCATGAATTGGAGTTCCTCTGCCGCCGCCCGACTTAAAAATTCCATATTTTGCGCTACATATCCTATACTATTTGTATTTCGTTTTCTTTGAGCTCTTTCGGTCGTCTTTTACTATCGGTGACAACAATGCAGGGCTAAACTCGTTGGTGCTGGAATAAAAGACGCCATGATTTATGACGTCACCATATGGACATATTCCTAGCCAGACTATTGAAATAAAAAAATTAATCTGTCTATTTTCTTACTTAAATCTATCTGCTCCGATATCCCCTTTTTGTAAAACTAATACGAAAATAAAGATACAGGCAATAAGGTCAAGAAAGGGTCTGCCGAGGAACTGTTTGTAAAGCTTATTTACTGAATGTCTGTAAGATACACGCGGTTCTTTAGATTGTATGATGATTTGTGAGCATCTGAAACAAGTGACAGAATATCCTAACAACTGTTTAAAACTAAGCAATTTTGTGTGTCAATTTGATTTTCTGTCGTATTTTACTGTCATATTGGGTAATTGCATTATTACTTTTTAGCATTTTAATTTCCGACGGCGGCGTGATCAATATGACTTTGAAATATTGCCGGCAAATAGACGCAACACGTAATAAATTTCATGTTTCCGTAGATATACAAGAAACTGATATAGCGTCAAACAAAAATTTCAAAATTATTATTTGCAAATCAATGTCAAAAATTCTCATAACCACTGAGACGCAGCATAAACAGACTGTCTATTGTAGAAGTAAAATTTAAAATTAAAGCGATTCGTGCGGAAATGAGAAATGTTAAATTTTGGAAATTATTTGAAAAACTATCCAAAAGAGATATTAGTCGAGACAAATCATTACCTGTATCCATTTTTAACAAGTTTCAAAACCTTTAATCAATTTAATGTTTCACACTGGTTAAACCGAACAGGAATAATTATTAAGACAACATTTTGCTGAACTTTATTTCCTAAGGGGTCCTCACGTCACTTCCGACATTTAGATTTTAATTACGGTCGCGAAATAACACAAAAGAAAAGATTTACTTTTGAGCTAATTCGATAACAAAAGTTTACCTAACTATTTAAACCGCAATTTGAAACACCAATGAAAAGTGATTAAGGATTTACTGACCTGCCGGGTAATGTGATGGACATTGTCCAAAAATGATATACTGTAATTGATGTTCTATATAACAATCGTATCTCGAATTGTTAATCAGAAGCGATCAGAAGAGGTCCTCGAAAGCTGAATAACCTGATTTTCAGCATGAGATATACGAACTTTTTTTTTGTCCTGCTGATTGCCAGCGTGGCAGTTTATGAAACATTTGCTGGAGCAATCGCACAAAAGGTTTGCTCATTTAACGTATTTTGTTTTCATCTCTTTATCTCTTCTTCCTAAGCATACTCACTTATAAAGGGAAAGAATCGAAAGAAACCATTTTTGGGTCTTCTTTATTGTTTCAAGATATTATGGCAACATACATTGACACAATGAACACATCTTTTTTAATATTACATCTCTGCTCTCTCAACCTGTCGGTAACGAACTCACCATTTTAAAATTTGTTTAATTGAGGTTTTTTTGGATTGAGAGTTTTTTTAATTCCTCAAAGTTTCTTAGTGTTTCTCTCTGTCTCTCTGATATATAAAATAGAACTTTTCAACGAGAGGCGAACAGATAATAATTAATCTCTGATTCCATCTTTATAAAGTACATTATTGACTAAGTAACCGATAAATGGTTTGAATTTCTGATAAGAGAACAAAATGATACAGATTGCCTGTTGCAAATTCTTTTTAGGTAATACAAAAACGACAAAATGTTTCTCAATTTTCCTCTGGTAACTGAGAGTTTAAAGAGTGTGATGTGACCAGATGTAATATGAACTTGAGATGTCATGACAACCTGAAATTAAACAAACAGGTTTTATTTCAGAACAGCTCTGATGACTTTAAAATTGCCTTGCGGAAAAACGTTGAATTGGAATGAAAATCGCTAACTCGAAAAAGCTTTTGCTTAGCTAACGGTAAAGGAACTTAACAAAAGGTTCATCTCTTTTTTTCGTTGGTAACCAAAAATTTTAGAAGCTTCCTTTCTCGCACATGGACTGCCGCATCTAAAATAGCCAAACCCAAGAATTCTAGTAAAAATAATATGGTAGTAGAAGGTATAATATGAATAATCCTTTGTTTAATCATCAAGTATTCACCACTGTTCGATAAATGAAGAATCATCGTGAAGAATTTAGGGTTTTCATGATCAATGCGTCAGCAAATTGAAGGCAGCCTCGTATAAGTACAGTTCAAATTTCCTCGTTCCGCATTGGTTGATAGCTTCAGGCTTAGGGAATTACATCCCAGTTTTGGTGTCTCGAATTAAAATTGTGCATCGTTTCTTCTCTAACTTGACCATTCACCTGATTCCAATTCTCGATCCAAATGTTTTTTTTTTTTTAATATTCACATTTCCCTTGTATGTGCAAGGAAAATATGGGGTGAGTTTAGAAATGATTCGAAACTTTCACAAAAGTGATTGTAATTCTTTCTTTCGCCTTCATTTCAGCGCAAAGAAAAGAGATCGTTCGGTAAGTTTTTAAGGTGAAGTTAGATCAAGTTTTATGGAATGGGTATTATGTTATTTACCAAATACAAGAGCCATGATATTTTACCATAAAACAGACAGCTGATTCCTCTATTGAAACCACGTACTTCATTTCAAATTCAGAAAAACCTGATTGTAAAGAAGTGGTTTTACAGCGCAACCCCGTATGTGAAAAGAAAGGTTGTGACGAAGATGGCAAACCGCAGATGTTTATGTACGAATGTCCCGAAATTCCAGAGATCTGCCCGAAGGAAGAGGTTGATGAAATGGCGGAGTGCTGCCCGAAAAAGTGTGGTAAGAAATTACCGTTAAAGATAGAAATGATAAGTTAGGCTGATGTAATTCACCTACTAGAACCATTGGAACTAACTAATGTGTCAGGAAATATTGGCAAGTCTGCGGATTCATAAGCCAGCGTTTCGGCCAGGGAAGAATCTCTCATATTGAACTGTATTGTGGGTAACGTTATTAGGATTAGAGGTATATAAGGGAACGATGATCATTTCCTGTTTGAGAGGCTGGAAAATTTGGGGTGGGTGGGGGGTGGGTTACTTGGCTTTCAGAGAGAACGGAAGGGGAATCAGTCGTCACCAATAGAGTGTAGAGGGGGGATATAGAAAGACTGACTGCCAATTAACTACAAAATAAGGGGTAGGGAGTGGGGTGGGGTCATAAGAATGATACAGAGCCTTATGGGCGGGGGGGGGGATATCAGGTTTATTTAATTGTGATAGAACCAAAATCTTCCAATCCCCCTCCCTTGGCAAAAAATAATGACTTGTCCCTAAACGTAAGCCACCCAGACAGTAGACCTTTTACTACCTTAAACAACTGGGAAAATATCAATAATGATAATATTTGATAATGATAATGTTTACTTTTTTTATATGCTCAGTTTGTAGTCCTGGTGGTGATTCGAGTATTTTGTACAAACCCGGAGAGAGTTTCAACGCTGTAAAAGATGGGAAAAATCTGGATTGCGAGTGCGATTCCAACGCAATACCAAGATGTATGGAGCGAATTCAAATCACTCGTAAGTAAAAGTCCATTAGTTCTAATTTTTTTTCTTTTAGTTTCAACGTCTTCAACTTGAAACGTGATTTTGTTTTCTATTCCCTGTAGAAACAATTAAGTCAATATACTGGATCGGTCAAGGCTAATCTCTCTTGAACTAGTTTAGATCTCGTAACCAGACCTTTCACGGCCAAAGGTTTCAATGACACGGTTGGATCTGGGTACGAGATTACTTTTATATGTCTTGATTGAGCCCCCTGGCCTCGTTCCAAGTTAAAAGAAGCTTTGTGTGCTTAACACACTTAATAAAGATCTTTAAACATGTTCCTTATCAGCGCCAGGCCTTTCCAAATAGAAAATTAATTATTAATTTACTTATTCCGTCCTATTTTTTATATAATCTCTAAGTAGCTATCACATAACATTGCATGTGGGTGTCATCTGACCCATAACAGACTGTAAACATAATAAACGATATTTCCACTAATAAACGATAGAATTAAAGTGTCTGTGGGAGGGAGGCAGGGGAAAGAGTCAATAATCAGTTATAAGAGCTTATTTTGAGTGATTAAGTGACAAAAACAATATAGTAGTTAATTACTAAGTTTTTCTTTTGTTACTTATTTTGTGTTTTTAATTGCATTTTTCTTTGGTTAGTTCCACCAAAACTGCCTCCCAGGCCTCCTCCAGTCTTTCCTCCCGGATTTCCCCCAGAAAGGGATTGGCCATGGGTTTAGGTAAGCAAAAGAATATTAATTCTTAATATTAATCCCAACAATAGTGTTTGGATATGATATCAACGAGAGAAGTTGGACTGGAATTCAAACCTCGTTTCGTGGATCTCTCTCATGGAAAGAACGTTGATTAAGTTGAGTTAAAAATCGTTCAGTAGGTCTCTCCTTTTAAGAAGGAATAACAGTTGATAGTTGCTGTTCGGGCTTGAGAAATAGAATTCTTTCACGCTTGGCAATTTAAATTAGTTCGACCTTCTTTGCCTGCTCATAGGACGCAGGCATTGTTAAACTTATGATGATCGTTGGTCGAGCGCAAAAAAAGGAAGCTAATATGGTAGGTTAGGTATAGACAGGACTCTTCCGCATGTTTAAACATAATTGAGTATATATTGAGATTTATCGCGAAAATCTTCCCATGAAAATACTGCTCACCTACATAACTTTTTCCCTCTCGACAGGACTGAAAATGAAGGTCAATAGGTGTCCGCTTGGTTTCCAAGATCACCGTTGATAATTATATATACCATTCCAGTTTTGATGATTACAAGTGTTCGAATGCACACAACTTGAAGAAACTTGTCAATATGAATAAATGTTGATGTACACGGTATGGATGCTATATTGCAATATAAATACTGACTACTGGAGGTGACACCTTAAGAATGAGGGCTAAAAACCTGGGGAGGGAGGGGGAAAGGTCTCAGCAAAGTTTCTTACGGAGGTGCACTGTCCCAATGTAAAGCCTTGCTATAAACTTAGAATGAACCCATATGCTCCATTTCCTGAGGTCTTCCCATTTATGGGGAATATTTTGATAGGAATCTCGCTACCAAATCAAGCGTTTGCAGCAACACAGTATCAAATATTAATCACCTTGAATAACTTCTCAAGGATTTAACACCTGACTACTCAAAATATCACTGTTGCAATTTAATTATAAAGAAAACCGCTGCATTAAAGCGTATCTAGAAAATCAAAAACTAATTCTATTATACTTCTCCTTCATGAAACTCGTGCAGAAATTGAACTAATGATAGGACCACCCTTCAGTATTCATTTACGAATTGTTGGGGTTATTTGGCAAAAAATGCATGGCTCACTTATTCCGATTTCAATTATTTAATTTAACTCATCATTTTACAACACTTTTAAACGCCATGTGATATAAGTTGACTCGTCTTCGTTTTTTCTGCTCAGGTGTTCTTCAATTCATGTTCTGCAAATGTAAAACATGAGAAATGAAATTCTTTTGAAACTTCTTTTTTCATTTTACTATTTGAGTCCTATATGTTCTTTTGCAAAGGATCAATTTCCATTTTTCATATACAGGTGTATAATGTTTTGCTTTCTATTTGGCAAATTATCAAGCGGAACCATGAAAAGTATTTTTATTTCGAGGCGGTTGTCGGGTCGAGTCCCCAATGGTCTGTGAGACTGAAAAAACTTTAATGTCACATATTTTCATCGAGATTTAAACAAACGCAAACAAAAATCATCAGTCTTAGCACGGCTATTCTCCCACCCTACCTCTCTTCTGGCAAGGAATTCGTAATATGCTTTCTGAAGTTTCAAAAAGAAAAATTTGTATTGGCTGTGAACAACTGGCGAGTTATTTTTGCCGAGCAACTAACCTTGTTTTATCAGTTATTGCCTCTCTTCATCTTTCTCCTTAATTTTTAAACCACGTTTGTGGTTACCGGGGAAACCAGGCGGGAGAAGTGGAGGCGGTCTGGTAGTGGGTTCAGTTACCTCGATGGCAGGCTCTAAAGTAACAGGTGCACCGGGATCTAAGGGAGCCAGACAGAAACGGAATTTAAGTTGAATACAAGTCAAAAAAAGTTAACAAGAGACATGATAGTGTAATAAATTCCGGATAAACGGGTCCTGAGCAAGAGGAACGTAGGTTATGCCGCTCCCGGGCAATGTCGCCCCCAGTCACTTCATCCCCTAGTTGAGTGACCTCGTCCCCAGTCACTTCTTCACTCAGCTGAGTGACCTCGCCCCCGGTTACCGGTTACTTCTTCACCTAGCTGAGTGACCACGCCCCCAGTCATTTCATCACTTGGCTGAGTGACCACGCCCCCAGTCAATTCTTCTCTTGGAGAAGTAACCTCGCCCTCAATTGTTGTCACGTCGCCCCGAAAGGCTCACCGGTCACCTTTCATTTTAGTCACTCGCATTCAATTGTGCTGATTATGTTGCTCCCAAATGTAAATATAATGACAAACCCGGACTAACGATAAATCCCCCCCCTTGTTATGTACCGTTGTATCTTCATATACAACTAAGGTGAATCAAATTAGCAGGTTTTTTTGCTTAATGTTCCGAAAATACATAGGTGTGCCTTCTAGAGGTCCCTTTCATAGATACGACCACAGAACAGTTATGGGTTGAACATCTTAGAGTTCGCCTGAGGTCAGGGAATCATAAACTTGCGGACAGGGGATCTGACAACTTATAAGTGTAGTGAATGCCTCTTTTCCTTACGCTGACAGAACTAAATGAAATATGTGTTATAATGCTTTTCCTGCCTGGAAATCCAATTGGTGAAAAAGTGTGGCCAAGGTCTTGGAAGTGCTGCCCCAAGTTGCAGACCAAGAGCATCATTGTCACGTTTGAGGTCTCTGTTTGTCACTTAACATTAACAGACTGAAGCCGGGTGGGAAGCTATCAAAATTTATTTCGTATTCGCTTTTGAATAACTTTTATAAACTCATAAAAATGTGCGCGTGACCTTGGGCACGAATCTGGACAATGCTAAAAAACAAATCAAATAACGGGATTCGTTAACGTTCCTCTTTTGGTAAAAAAAAAAAAGACGAATTAATGAGCTTATCTTGCTCTTTAGTGATTTGATATACTTACTACATGTTGGACAGCAATTCCCAGGCTCGTACACCGGGTTTGGACAATTCGCCGCACATTGCACCACTTTACATTTCGTCTGGCTTGAGACGCATGCGCATTCATAACAGCTATTTGGTTGCCTGTTTATCCAAGTCTGACCGTCTTTGTAGTACTTGTTTTTGTGATAACAAGCTGAAAGAAAGAGCGACTAATGTAATGTTTTGGATGCTTTTAATAAGCAATTCCTATGATTTGATAAGTTTTCACTCTCCAAATCACATTCATGTAAAATCTGCTCTCCCATCTCAAACTTACCGCAAGTAGGACAACATTTTCCCTGAGCAGCTGGAACAAACTTCTCGCAGGGAAAGAAAAAATCACAGCTGGCTCTACCGTAACAATTCTTGGCTCCTCGATCACATGAACATATCTGACAGCCCATATCGTTGTAAACAATAGGATTCTGTGGAATATAGAATGTTTGTCCGTCTTTGTATTTCATCCCGTTAGCTTCACACTCATCTGTAAAAGCATAAACATCAACATCCATGTGAGAAACAAGCTACATCAAATAAAAGGGGGTAAGTTTTAAGGAAACTGTGGTATTGAGTCGGTGGAGGAGTATACCAAGATCATTTGCTTTTATCCACTGAGGTAATGATGTAAATTGGCCACCGTAAAGAGTTTCTACAGCTTTGATACTGATGAAAACAAAAGGTAACAGAAAAAAAAGAAAAAGCGCATGATCGTTAAGCAATTATACGGATTAATATTAAAAAAATCAAAAGCTATCCTCGTGCCACTGACATTGACAATAATTTAAATTTATACGAAGGCGGTGAGAGCACACAAAAAAAAAGCGGGATTTTTAATCAGTTTTCCTAAACTTTGAAAAAAGTAAACTTGATCAACTATTACCAGGAGGTATAAGCAGAACTTACAAACTAGCTCGTACACTGCATTTGTCCATTTACCACCAACACCATAAAAGCATTGTTTTGATTCCTTGTACACATCATAACCAGTTTCTTTGCTACTTCCCCAGCATTCTCCGAAGTGCTGAACTCCAAACACGAACACATCACTTGTGTTAAGCGCATGCGCAGCGCACATGTTAATCACTGTTTTGAAGTTATATCCTTTGACTTTCCAATTGACGTACTTTTTGGCATTAAAGTAGAGCTTAGGAAGAGCTCGAGCTGATGGCCTGTCACGGTAACAGCCAAGATATCTGTAATGAAATCCACCGTCTGTGATTTAAGAGAACATAACAGTCTTCAATAAAGGAGCTTGGCATATTATAGCAAAAATACGATCAAATGAAACAGAATGAAATAAAGTAACAAAAATTCAGAGAAAGTAACAAATACTGTTATTCTAACTTCTCACCAGAACTTGATATTATCTCTCCTGCAGCCTAAAAAGAAAAAGTGCGACCAAATTAACAAAATGATAAATTGAGAACCGAGATAAACTTTTTTCGACACAACTATTTTTTTATGAAGAAATTATTTCTTGTTAGCACTGTTCTCGTCTAGACATAGCCACGGAGAAAAAGTTCTTAATCATCTAGATCTGGTTACATTATTTCTAGAAGTAATATTCTCGAAGTAATATCTATGAACTGAAGTCAGCTTTGTTCTATGTTATTTGTTTGCGAGACGAAAGCGTCCGCAGATAGCATCGTGAGCAAACTTGACCGTACCCATGATAACTCTAGTAATCTTTTAAGCTCTGGGAGTGATAGCGTCCAAATTCTCCAAACAGTATTACTGCTGAATCAAACATTCAAGTCATAAGAAAAAAAGAAATAATCGCTTACAAAAAAAGCTCTTCCTTGTTGAACAAATTCTCCTTGTCGGTGCCATAGGAGATGAATGGCAAACAGTAAGGAGAATATGCATACTGATCTTAGGGTGTAAAAGGTTAATTCAAGCTGAAACACAGCCACTAGTTCTTGATTTTTACCTTAATTTCTAGGAAAAAAGCCATGTGAACCAATAGGAGAAGTACAATTTTCTTTACAGCCTCCATCTCTTTGTTTTCTTCTGAAGAGAATAACAAGTCACTTCATATGTAAACATGAACATCGTTAAACAGATAAATTGAAATTTTCTCTTGATTAGTCTATTCAAAATAAACTGGATTGATAAACGATAATCTCAAAAACGAACAAAAAAAGGGAAAAACCCAACGCCACTGAAAGCATTGACAACGCAGTACTTTTTATCTGGATTAATAACGACTGAAAAATCCGTAAGAGCCTGAAAAATGAAATAGTTGATGGGCATTTCGAGCATTTTAAACGTAGCTTGTTACACAAAGAGGAAATAAACCAAAACCTTAACAAAAAGCTGATCAAATAACGAAGTTTTGTCGCATGCAATAGACTATGATTTATTGTTTGCACCCAATTGGTTGCCCTGCCATTTCACAATCTTTAGATTTCATTGTTTATTTTGTAAATCTGCTGTTGGATATCAATATATTTAAAACAAACAGTCATTGTCTTAAGCATCGGCTCTTCTAGACTGATTCTTTCTCTGGAAAAAGGTTTTTTTCTTTGCCCTTGGAAAAAACAGCAAATCTTCATAGTTATCTCGTTAGACCAATTACATATCATTAGGAGACTTACGATTTTATAAGAACAAACCCTTAACATCTTGATTTGATTTGTAATTCGGATAACTTTTAATTGTCCAACTGATCATTCACTTTTCTGCAATCTATATATATCGATAGTGATAATCTCATTTTAAATGTGGCATAAAAGCAACTTTTTGCTGCTCATGTAATCTTGAAGTAACTTTTAAAAGAAAGACAAAAGTGAAAAAAGCTTAATCTTTGTTAATTACTCAAGGTTTCTCATCGGGGAAAAGTTGGTGAGTTCAGATAAAAGCAGATTAGTCTGAACTGTTACAAAAGTAAAATCAAAGATCAGCGATAGACAACTACATGTATTTTTGTGATCGCTGTTGATCAATGTCATTTAAATAGGAATAAATTGTTCGTTTTTAAAAATTGCTCTTAACCCACCTTAGAGTCGTTTCTTGAAGAGTCTTCAAAAGCTTCTCTCGTTAACTTAACGCATTTATTTATGACGAGTTCCGGCTTCAATTATCAGTAGCTGAGATACCGCTTTAACTGGCTAAGTATGTCAAATGCCGTGAAAAGGGTTTTCCGGTTTTTTATTTACATTTCTGAAATCATTGATCCAACAAGGAGCTCCTTTCTCCTTAATTTTCTAGTAATCACGATGAAAATAATCACTGCACATTTTGAGCTCGGCGAGACACGAAAAGCCTTGCTAAAAGCTTGCGTTTGAGCTCAGACTTAGGAACAATGATACTGATTATAAATGAAAATGGCGGGAGAAAAGCTAATTATTGACAACGAATTATATTTTTTCTCAACTAAATGAATAAACCTGAAAATTTAACATAGAGTCAATCAACGAAACAAATGAATTTCATGGGTTCAGACATCAGTGAAATCGTTCCACGAGAAATTCCTCACATACATGTGCCTTCTCTTTTGTTTCGTTTTGTTTTTTGGATAAATCGGCCATTGACCACAGGAAGGCTGTCATATCTCTTCTAGCAAATGAGACACTTATTATGCGTAATCACACTTTCCATTTTCATAACTTTTCGTCAACGTTATTTATCGCGTCAAACGCGTTTATTAGTGAATTTCCTTGGTTTCTGATGCTTTTCCTCCGCCTGTTTGTATTAGTTATTAGCTGTCCAGTTTTTTATTTATTTCAGTTTACAGAAATTGGCTGAAATTTCTTTATGTTCAAAGGCAATTTACCTCCACGTATAACACTGATTATTGTTTTCGGCTTGGCTTTTATGGGGCTCGGCACTTTCGTTTGACCATTGTTTAAATGTAATTTCTGTGGGTTGTAGAATAAAGCGATTACAAATTCGGTTGGATTCCCTTCACATGTGTGATTACGAGAGGACCAGCTTAGGGAGCCTTTAGGAGTACTGAAAAGAAACAATTGATTCAAAACGTTTCCTTACCGAAATAGCGTTTTTCTCTACTAAACGGTAAAAACAAAACGTCTGTTGGGGAACAACGATTATTTCATCGAAGGAATAATGGCCAAAATGTACCAGACGGGAGACATATCTGAGGAATCATGAAAGAAACATGAAGCCACTCCAACAAAAAATTAATTCTGTGCAGGTGTCGCGGTCAGAGGAGAGCAAGCCAACATTTGTGGGGTCTGGGCCGAGTTGAAGAGGTACAGGCAAGGGGGCAAGGTGAATCAATGCCTCTTTTGCCTAAGCCTTGCCTCGATTTTCTTCGCTGGCTCGCTTTGTTTTAAGTTTTCTGAGCTTTTTTTTTCAATTTTTTTTGCATATCACCACAAGGGTACTGTCAGGAATAGACTAACCAAATATGCATCCAGCCATCTAATCATTTACATACTTCACTTCAAGTCTTACTCAGATTAACTGTGACTTTATTCTTATCGTACTTTACACAATTTAACACAGTTAAGGAATTTCATAAAATTCATGCGAATTCCATTTGTTGTCCTTGTTCAACTCTTCAGCTGAGCTGCTGAAGACTCTTTCATTCTGAGAAATAAACACGAAAAAATTACGCAATGATTACGAGTTAAAACATGGCTGAATATTAATTAAAACATTGCAATCATTTAGGAATAAGCAAGGGCATTCGATAACAGTTCAATGATCTTCTAATCCTGGAATTCTGAGTAAAGGGTCTATTAAGACGCACGCTGAAAAATGAAATTAAGGGGGTTCACTTTTTGAACGAGCTCCAAAGAAGAAAGGCATGTGATAATTATTCGCAGTTGTCAGGCATCGGTTTGAAAAATACTGGAAATTTCAACAGCCACTTGTCTTGTAGACTGGCTCGAGCAAAATTTTCTTGGCTTTAAACATTAATCTGACTTTGAATAGTGTTACTTTTATTCTCTGCGGTGACATGAATGAATGCATGATTCATGACTCATGGCGTCATACTAAAGCTTTGTGTTAGGTTCCTACCTGATTGACAACTTCCAGGCTTCCTTGTACAGTGTGCAATACCACCCTGCTGACACGTGCATGTCACGCAGTCTTCTCCAGAAACTCTCTGCCATTGGTCGCCTGGTGACAACTGCTCTCCATTGTTGTAACAGGCTTAAAGGAAGTAATAGAAATATTGATTTCTTGATGCAGTTCTAACATAATTTTTATCAACGTTCAGTCTCACCATCATTTTACAAAGTTAATGTGAATAATGTGGAGAGGATACGTACCGCATACTGGGCAGCACTGTCCAGTTATTTTAACAGATTTTTCACAGCCCAGTTCCTGAATATCGCAGTCGAATATCTTATGACACTTGTGTCTCCCGGCGTCACATTTGCACTGTTGGCAGATTATACTGCTCTTATCAACAGATTGCTGCAGCACCTCAGCACTCTCGCCATCATGAAACAACCGGCCGTTTATCTTACAACTGAGAGCCGGGGGCTTTGGATTAGCTAGAACTGAACAAAGAATCATATGAGACTTTTCTGGGTCAAAAAGCAATAAATTGATAAACAATCCTTCCTAAGAGAGGTCCATTTGCGTTTGTAATCATGTTCAAACAAAAACGTTTTACATACAAATGTCCTCGTGGCTGAAAGACCGATTCTACCTTAAGCTTAGATCCACTGTGTGCGAATCAATCTATCATAAATCAACGATGGTGTCTGAATCATTATCACGATTAATTTACGACACGCCTCACGACACAAAAAGATTACAAGATCAGATTATTATAAAATATTACCACTAGTTATATCAGATGAAGCTATCTGGTTACGACTCATGCTTTACGAAAGTAACTCGAGCTGAACCCGTCTCGTGAGATGCACATGAATGAAACGCCCTTCAGGAAACTCCCCCACCCTCTTGGTTAGATTTTCCAGGTAATTTCCTAATCAATGTGGCCAAGTACATCACATCGTGTAACTTGATCAACCAATAGAATACTCAAGCTTACCACAGGTTGGACAACACTGGTCCACTCGATGCTCATAACGCACGCATTCCGGATTATCCATTTCGCAGTAGAAGAGGTGATGACATCCGTCTACTTTGCCTCCCTGACAAGAGCACTGATCGCATGCCGCAGTCTTCTTATCGGCGGACATGTAAAACACCTCCATACTTTCTCCGTCTTTGTAATGTCGTGCTCCAACCTTGCAGTAAGGCGGGGAGGGTTTGGGTACGACTGAAAAAAAAGCGGTTGTATATAATACTTTAATAATTTCTTACTGGTTGAGCAATTAGAGAATGATCACTGAATGCAATTGGGAAATTCAGTCAGTCATTTCCAGACAGTCAGTCCTTGCGTCGTTCTTGGGTCAGTCTGTTTTTTTTTTTCTTTGGGTCTGTCTGTTTGTTAGTCAGCTAGATAGCCAGCCAGCCAGCCTGCTAGCCTGCTAGTCAGTCAGTTTGTCAATCAGTCCGTCAGTCAGGCAGTGGGTCACTAAGCAAGTTAGTTGAATCACTGAGCAAGTGAATTGATGAGTGAGTCAGTCAAACAGTTGGTGAGTTTGCGAGCCAGTTAGCTAACCAGTGAGTCAGTCATTCACTCATCCACTCGTGATTAGCGAGTCGGTTATTTTATCTTCCATCCAAACACCCAGTCAATCAAACAATTACGTACCGCGTGCACAAGCCGGGCAACATTGGCCTGGAATTTTTATATGGCTATTACACCCGGCTTTGTTCTTCTCGCAGTAGTAGATTCTGTGGCACTTCTCCAATTTTCCTGCCATGCAAGTACACTGATGACACTCGCCTAGTTGTTTGCCGTGGAAGTCTCTAAGAAGTTCCAAGCTATCGCCTTGTTTGTAGGTTTGGTCGTCGACTTTACAAACAGGTGCATTACTGGGAACATCTGTGGATGATTCAAGGCAATGAAATAAATAAAAAGATAAATTTTACCAGTGTATCAACCAATTTTTGAATATTTTCTTGCTTATTTCACGATCATGATTTGCGGTCGCTATTCACTGTACGGTTAAGT